AATACCAGTTTCATTATTTATACAAAATACTTATTCAAGGCAATTTAGGGCAAAAAATCCTCTTTTTCCCAATCTCATCCTAAACACCAAAATCAACCATTTTAACACAACACAAGCTCATATCTACTCCAATATCCATTTCCAATATATACATTCAAAACCCCTCTTTTGATTTTAACCCAAACCCTTGGCTTCTTTAAAAATCACCTCAAATCCCAATGTTTCTTACATATCAACAAATATTTGAGTTAAAACTCATAGAAGAGTGTAGAAGATCCCTACCTCAAACTTAGAAGACCAATGGAGCAAAGGAGAAACTTCAAGAGCGTTGAGACCAAGCTTTTTTCAGATCAAAATGGAGCTCTAGCAATGCTCTATCTTTTTATCAAAGAGAGTATGGTAGAGAGATCCTTAATCTAGGTGTATTTGTAGAGAGAAATGGTGTTCTAGAGAGAGAAATGGTCGGTCTAGGGTTTTTGAGAGAAGATATATCAAAAAGTGATATAAAAAGGTGTTTTTGTGAACTGATATATGCATAGCTCGCTCGAGCACAAGAAGCTTCGCTCGAGCACATAATACATACTCCTAGAAGTTTTACAGACAAAAAACCGTTGCTCGAGCGCAAGAGTGCTCGCTCAAGTGAAGAACACTACCCCCCAGCATATTTGCAGTCCTGCAAAAGTACTGGGAGCTCACAAATCTCACTCGAGCGAAGAGGCCAAAATTCGGACAACAACAATTTAAACCAACTATCAACTAATCTGTTTCAAACATAACCAAGCCACTCCAAAACTCAATTTCAATGAGGAATAAGGAAAAACAGACAAGAATAACAACACAAAATCATGAAACTCGAGCCTAGAATACAACAAGGATTGGGTCAAAACTAGAATCGCTATACTGGCCTGAATAGGTCTATTGCTGATACTATCTCTGTCCCTACCCAGATTGATGGGATGGTGTCTATTTGGATCCTGAGGCACTTTGCACACTCCTACTCTGTAAGTAATAGTATCGAATGTGACCGAACTAGCCACACTAAAAGCGAGTGGCCCTTGACCATGAGATTGGCTCGAAATCTAAATCTATAGAGGTTTCGAAGACTGCCCTTCTGTGGGCAAATCCGTTGTCTTGTGACCTAGTTGGCCACATTGGTAGCTGTAGACACCCCGTTTTGGTTTGTGATGAATGGTTAAAAGTGTATGATTATTTTATTCCTTTTAAACATTAATACACTTTTATTAAATTAATTCACTCATTTTATTTTTAATTATGAGTTTAATAAGTTAATTTTTCTCTTTTGCAAAATAATTTTCAATTAAAATGAAGATGTATAAGAAAGTCTCATAGAAATTGCTGCACAAACAAGACAAAGAAGATAGGCCAAAGTGATGCAAACTATTCTTCTTCTAACCTTCCAATTAGTTCACTTATGTGTTAATTGAAGAAAAAGGAAACTAAATTACGGCACTACTTTAATTCGGCGTATTGCATCACATACCTATGTGAAAATCAATGGTAATTGAATGGATGATGCATGGATCAATGCTGATTAAATGGATGATGCATGAGGCAAAGCTAATTGGATGGATGATGGGATGGATGATGCATGAACCGCCATAAACCTGCAAGAAAAATTTACTGCCTCAGTTGTGTTCACTATAAATACATGTAAATCCATTAAGGAGAGGATTCATCCGAAATTATTTTTTCAATACAGATTGTTTTCATTTATTTCTATAGTGTTCCCAATGGTTTTTAATGTCAAATTATTTTGATTGGCTGGTTTATTCATTTGAGAAAACTTTTTGTTCTATATAATTTCTTGTTCTATTGTAGACTCCAAGCATGATAGAAGCTTGACCCTGCGAATCAAATAACTAAATTTTCATGGTGTAATCAATCAATCAAACTAACCAATCTTTTGAAATAAATTTTTGTATAAAATAATCATTTTAGTCTTCCGATTGAGAATACTGGTGGGTCATTTGCACACCAAAAATAAAGAACTAAACTAAACCTCAATTTTGTAGAATAATGGTAAATTCAGGTATCGATCTACAAAGACTAAAAGACTAAGTTGTTTAAATATTAGAAAATCAACTCTTAATTAATTCGAATCAGATGAATATTTTGATTTTAATAGAAAATTAACTAAAAATAATTATTAAACAAAAAAAGAAAGATTAAGGTGGAATTAAAGTAGAAAATAATTTCAGGTTTCAAATTCACCTCTAATCTCATAATAAGTAATTAATATATTAAATTTTAATAAATCAAAGATTGAGATAATAGTGATGTATCGTGACAAGCCCCAATATTATCGTCAAGGGGATGAGTATAATCAAATCGTAGGCACAAATCATCCACACTAAACTAGGGTTGCAGCATGACTCGTCTTCCCTAAGCGTCTCACGATTTATAATACAAGCAAGCAAAACAGTTGCATGATCATGCATTCTTAATCACATAAATAGGATGAAAACGTTTCTTGAACAAAAGATCTTTAACAATCATACAACGATTATCTAAATCTAAATAAAAACTAGAATCTAAATACAGAATTACAAGTTACTTGATTAGGGTTTCATCTCAATCCCTAATAAGAAGATTAGTCGCTCATGGTTAAGGTAGAAAACCTATTCTCCTTGCCTCTCTCAACTTCTCTCTAGAATCCTCCATAACCCTAATGATGAATAAGCTTGTGTATTTATAGACAAGGAGACATCTAAATAATACCCAAGTGGCTAGAATTCTCCAAAATAAAGGGAAATTTGGATGTAATTATTCCCTGCTTTTTAATCTCATCTTGTTGGCCTGTTTTGACCCATTAGAGGTTAGAATTAGAAAATTACTATTTCACAAAAAATTGTAGCCCTTTGAGTTAGCTTTTGAATGCCGCTTGATTCATCTAAATCCGATGCTGTATGAGAGAGATGCTCAAAATACAAAAATTTGGCGGGGATGTGCGGCCACACATTCTATTTCTTCATTTTTCTGCACCGTACATAGGTTCTGCACCCTCATTATCAGGCTCCGAAAATAATGATAATCGATACGCCTCATAACTCTCAAACATACATGTGAAAGCTTACTAATCTCAATAATTTAATATAATAAATATTCCTCATTCATTAATCATTTTAAAGTATTACAAAAGATGTCACATGTGTTAATACATTTATCAATCATAGATTATGAATCTATAGTGTGTGATTTATATATCAGAACAAAAGTATATAAATGAAAGTTCATGTCCTAAAGATTACAAGTTTTCAAGACTTCGCTTGTTTACAACAAAAATGGGTCGAAGACCAAATATAGGAAAAGCCTTGGGCTTATACAAAACAAAATTTACAAAAAACAAAAACGAGCGTCCAGCTCCAATGTCCTCAATCCACTAAGAAGATTTAAAGGAATTACACAGGTATACTCTCAATTACCTAGCGAATCCACAACGCCTAATTGAACCAACCTTTATGTGCCTCTTCCAACCCCATCTTCACCGCGGAATTGTCTTTCTGATGAGCCACTCTGGATTCCACCACAGCTTCAGGCTCGAATTCTTCAGAATACACAACTGAAGAACAACACTCTCTTTTGTAGAACAAAACACAACCTTTGATGTACTCTCTTTAGAACATGAGTTAAAGACTCAATCAACACATCAAAGAAAAACTAACAAAATCTCTCCAGATATAAACCTTAAGATCCAAAAATAAGATCTGAAGAAGTCTCCCTAGTGTTGGGAGAAAACCAATTATTTATAGAAAACCAAAGCAATCCTAATTTCAGAAGAAAACCAACTCTTTAATCAAATCTGGAAATCTGGGATCGCGCGGTCCGCTCGAGCGCCCTTTTCCCCGCTCGAGCGGAGACTTCAAATTCTGTGATTTCATACAGGCTCCACGCTCGAGCGTCGGTTTTGCCGCTCGAGCGGCAAATCACACTATCCAGTACTTTTGCAGGCGACTGCAGAGATGCTGAGAGCTTCCAATCCCCGCTCGAGCGTCCCTTTCCCGGCTCGAGCGGGAAGGCCAAAACTGGAAAAACTGGAAAAATATAACATGATCGGACAGGCAACTTTGAATGCATTTTTGCATTTTGCTTCGGGCCGCGATATAACTGCATGAGCGTCCCTTCCCCGTAATAATCAGCGAAGTGGCAATCTTGAAAATATTTGCATCACAAACTTCTCTGAAAGGCTCAATTCGGGTTGGATTCGCATCTAAACACTCATAGCCTCACTGAAATAAATGT